TACTAATACGTCCTTTCACTGGTCAGCAAAATAGTCCTGATCATGTTTGCAATTAAGGCATATGATGTTTCAACTTGTATTATTACCTGATTGGTAAAGAATCTCCATTCGGTATAGTTCACTTGCGGGAAACAGTCTTTAAAACGCTCCACCTCTACAGCCGCGTTACTTCGCCAAATGGAAAGTGCCCGGCTACTCAACGCGCCTTCATTCTCAGTACCAGTGTCTCTCCTTAGTATCTCGATAATGCTATCAATCAGCATTTGGTAAGCTGAAAAGTTCAGCGATAGTGAGTAATGTATACCGACGTTAAAAAAGAAAACGCTTTGATTCCCTGTCATGTTAAGGCTGTCCAAGACTTTTTGGATCTCCTCAAAGACAATAGTCTGGTTGAAATCTCTATCATCGCTTCCTTTCCAGGAGACCTGCAAAGATACACAACGGGCGCTCGCGTCATCCTTTTTAATGCTTCATAAAACCAAGAGATAAAACTTCAAAAGAATATGAGAACAAATATCTGTCATGGAAACGTTAAAAAAATCTTACCAACGGAGAGATTAGCTGACAAAAATGCCGTGACATAATTTAATAATTTGTTTCTCATCTAAATCTACTTCGGCTAATCAAAATCACTACAAAATTTTCGAACATGATTGGTTATCACCAGCCCGATTTGAGCACTAGTAGGAAAGTATGGGCGTCAAGCTTATAATTGAACTGTGTAATTCGACAGTCTGTATATCATGCATCTGTTATTGGACAGTACCCGTCGTGTGCGTACGCTGTTGTCAAGAATATCGTCGAGTTATCTGTTGTTTTTTTATGAAAAGTATAACCCAGGGCTAGTTTTGACTAAGAGGGAACAAAATTTCGTGGCGTCCAGTTCTACCTGTAATTATACTCGTAATAAACAAGTCGACTCCCGCTTAGCGGTCGTCCGTTTTCGTGAATCATTCAAAGGATCTCAGACCAAGTTGGATCCCACCCTTACCATTATCATTACTTATTTCAAATTTGCAAAAATAATGTTCCCAAGGTAGATACTGTTTCATTAACGAAACAAACAAAGTAAACAAAAAAGTCGAAAGCAGAAAATAGAACCTAGTTTAAATGTATTATCAACTACAAGTTGGTAATAAACAACCAAAAAAACTGGTTATACGCCCAATTAGAGTGATGTTTTTGCTATAATCTTCTAAACGAAGAGAGTGTTTCGGTGTCAATTTTATTTTCATTATTTAGTTCGTCCAACTTTTTCGAGGTTCTGTGTCAAGAGGATTGATCCCAAATTCAAATCAACAAACGAAAGACTTTTGATAAGCAAATTATAAATAAGCAAAAGTTTCTTTCCACTCACATCATAAGTCCACATGTACTTCTTCCCGCAGGTATGAAACATTTTCTTACAAAGCTGACTTCTCATTGCAAGAGAATGGAAATGCACGTTTGTGGAATCCCCATAAAACATTAGATCGTCTAATTTTCTCTTAAGACGTTTTTCCGCATATTGTGCCTTTTGCATCTCTGATAAAAAAAAAAGAAGAAATAAACAGATATGGGCCGCTTATTTACACGAAGTCCAACCCAAACCACAGTTTAACGCAGTCAGTGGGCCTCAGGCTCTCCCTATAAGAGGGTTGATTTCATTAAAAAAATGTCCTTCTACTGTTAGCTTTTGACCCTCTTGACACTGTTCACAAATGTAACTGTTCATATGAAAGGTTCGGCTAAATTGAGGATTGTTTGGGACGCGGTTTTGCTGAAAAACGGTTTAAATAATCAGACCATAGTTTGGAATGGGGAGACTCAAAAGAATTTCTTTCTTCTCGATGCAATAGTTTGAAGATTGTTCGCATATCGTAGTGTTTAGTAGGATGTTGTTGAGGAGACCTGAAAAAAGTTCTGGTGGTAACTTACGTCCCAAGCAAACTTTTTAAGCATCGATCGAACATGAACTGACATCAACGTTTAGGAAAAATTAACATTATCAAGTCATTAATTTTATTACTAAGTTCGCCAACCTTCAGGCATGTATTGTTTCCAAATGCTGTTGACCCATCGCCCAAAGCCATTCCACACCAAGGAGCAATTAAAGTCACAAGACGACTGGGAGAAACTTTCTTTACTTGATTGACTTAGAAATGGCTGGATGTACTTGAAGAAACCTGTACATAGTACGTTAAAGTAACGGCCTAGCTAAATTTACAATACACTGTGACTCGCTGATGGAGCATCAGAGTGCAGACTTTTCATTTCCTGAAGGTTCGACATCCTAGGAGCGACTAGCATCCAATTTCTCCCCACAATATCACCCCTGAATCAAGAAATGAAGGTTAGGAGAACATAGGAAATGATCCGCAACTAAAGAAGCTCTTGATTGTTGAACAAATTCTCCTTGTCGGCATCTTAGGAAATGTATTGAGAACAGTATGGAGAATATGCATACTGATGTTCGGGTTCATGATTACTTTCTGAAAATATTGCTCTCTTACGTTGTTTAAAAAAAAGTTGCAGTAAGCAAATTATTTTCTTGGTAAAAATAATTCACATTATTACCTTTTGTTTTATTGCACTCTTTGATATAAAACTTGATCGGCTTTCCACTTTGAAGCGGTGCTTCAATAAAATCATGGTCAATATCTCCCAGGATACCAGTCTCCTGTTTGTGGCCTTGAATGTCACCTTAAGAAAAAAGGAGAAAAGGCGTGGAAGTGATTATCATTTTGTTATTTCATTTTGTCAATGAACCGCAAGACCTTTAGAACGAAATTCCCACATCAACAACTGCCAGTTGCGATGCTGAATTTACATATAAAAAGAGAACCTTTTATGTACCAATCCTCCGGTGGATCTCTAAAGCCATCGCAAAGCGTGAAATCCAGAATAGCCTGGACCGAGTAATTCCCAGGCTCCAGTGCAAGAAACAGAACCTCGTATGTTCCATCATTATGGTCGACCACGATCGGTGTTAAGGATGCTGGACCTTGTCTGATGTGAACTCTCCACGAATCTCCCCCAGTCTCCTTAAGTTGGCCACTTTTGGTCACGGACTGGATAAAGAAGCGACTAAATTCGCCTGAAAAGTATTGAGAGTAAATTTAGTGGTGCCAAATCAAAATGCTTTGAGTTTATTAGTATCAACCATTAATGATATCATTATTTTAATCATCATTATTTTTGTCATTATTATAATTTGCATTAAAATCGTTTCTAGTATAATCATCATTAATTTTTCTATAATCATAACCATCACAATTATTTAAATTTTTAAGAGCTTCTCACTACTTGTTAAGAAAATAAAAAGAAAAAAAAGAAATTAAAAACTGCTAGTACAATGTTTATATTGGCTTTATGGATCATATATATGTGAAAAATTTAGTTAAGTTGTTGTTTTTAGTTGTAATGCATTTTTCAGTTTCGTGTCAGGAGTTTATTAAATCTAAACGATTAACAGTTGGAGATACTTTGGTCTTTTTGCAATCTCACAAATATATTTTTTCAGTAATAAATCAAATAGTTGAGGAAGAGGCAAGAGGATCATATTATTAAACCTTGAGTTGAGTGTTATCTGCTGCTTTGTGATGGTCGAGTAATCCTGCTCAAAATCCTGCCAGAGTAACAGTGGAAAAAGGCTTTGGAAAAAATTATGTTGGGTTTCGGGTTCTACTATACAAAAATTGTACATACAACCTACAGTGTATCCAATTTAAAATAATTTAACATTTGTGTAAAGGACTGAATTTTACACTGGAAAACTTAAGCGTAATATTCGTAGGCATCATTATGGAAGCAATTTACAACGGACCATTTTTTTTCCTCTGGGGAAATTAAATACTTCTTTTAAAACGTCAGTTGTTGAACTGATTTTTTTCTTGTAGTTTTTAGTCATTTTTGAAAACACGAAGATGATGACAGCAAATAACAATGGAATAAATAAAGAGAAATAAAAACCTGCTTGCAACCCAATGCCTCTTTTCACACTCACATTCTTGAAAGCATCCAAACAGTTACAAAATTAATCAGCTTCTCAGAAAGGTGTGTTTATATCTGTTTACCTTGAGCTTTTACTTCCTTCTTTAAGATAAAACTCTTATCAGGGTCTGTTCTGTTTTTTGAAGAGGACTCACGCTGTGTCCAAGCCATTTTGTCATGACAGCTTCCCGACAATACTTCCCAGTCCACACTCGACCGCTGAAGTCGGCACCAGTCAGTGAAAAAACTTTCACGGTCACTTGATGAACGTGATAATCTATCAGCTGTTAATCGATCAAGTGGTAACTGATCATGTGTTAACTGATCTTGGCTAAAGTCGGCTAGTTTCACGAGGCGTAAGAATTCAAGTTTAAAAAATTCACGGACAATAATTGCTATTAAAACAAACAGGGAAAGTAAGAACAGCTTCTGTACTTTACGAAACATCATCTCTGGTTACTGCCTGTGAAAATAAAAGGAAAAGAAAATATGAACAACGTTTGACACAATGTTTGACTCAAATCAGAGAATTAGCCTCCTTCCCCACTTCTCCACGCGTTAGATGCACACAATGTAAGAGCATTGCATCGGCAAATTTATCGGAACCGGCATTTCTTTGATCGCTGGAAAGAGCGTTTAGCGAGGAGAGCTAGGGAGAGGTCTGTGAGGGGTCCAGTGCTGATAATGGATGCCAGAACCCACGGCCAACTCTCCCCGACTCGCTCTAAATCTTCCCACGGGCAGGGAAGCGTCTTGCAGCGCTATTCGGTCGCTATTTACTTACATCTCCTCTCGTGAACATGGGCCGATTTGAAACTTCGGCAGAACTGTCTCAAAAAAAGTGCTTAAGGCTGATAATTATAAATTGACCGAAACCCGGATTGTCCTTCTGTACTAACACGAGGTTTGCTTTGAGACTGACCCGCGTCAGTCTTTAACCCATTACATCCTAAGAGTGATAAGCATCTGATTTCTCCTTGCTGTATCACCCCTGAATCACATATCAAGGTCACGAGAATAAAGAAAATGATCACTGACTAAAGAAGCTCTTGATTGCTAAACAAATTCTCCTTGTCATCATCTTAGGAAATATATAGAGAACGGTATCCAGAATATGTATTCTGATGTTAGGGTGTAAAGGGTTAAAGAACCGATCAAAGACCTCAAGGGGACAAATCGCACCCTATGCAAGTCCAGTACGACAAAATGGTGGTTCGTGATTAGTTCAAACTGGTTAAATTAAAAAGAAGAAGCGATTCAGACAATGTTATTGGAGAGAACGTACCTACCCTGAATAGCTTGTCCATACGAAAATTTGAATGAGTTTTATACCCAACCAGATTTCTACAAGGTATACCCTGGAAGAGGGACTGGCCTGGTTTAACTTCTTTTCTTCATATAAACGCTTACAAACATTTGACAGCAGAGGGGATTCTCCTAGCCGTAATTCAACTCGGATGATAATTAAAGAAGTCGAGGTCTTGTTAAGAGTCGCTTAAGATAGGTTAACTTATGGAAGCAACTGACCGGTGACCATTTATGGGTTAAACACCAAAGAAACATCATTATCCAGTGATATATTTTTTATACTTTAAAATGGCACGACAAAAACTTGAAATATGATTCCTTCAATCATTTTTTCTTGGAATTTCTCACCTGTACAGTGCTAATCTTTTGCAGTGCTGCTTTTCCTCTATGCTCTTCCGTGCTATTTTTACATTCGGTTGCTGCGCGTTGTTGCCTGTCTGACAGTAATTCATTGGTGCCAAGACTGTTGCTAGTTAATCTTAATCAATATTGACAAACTTCTTTTCATGTGCTGTGATAATTCAAACCCTAACAAGTCAACACTATCAGAAAATTTAAAGTTAATCTCAAAACGTGCGCGGGTTAATGAGAAAAATACTACTTTTAAAAAGGTGAAATAAATTATCGGTGTCAAATTTCCCGTAAGACGTAAACCCCCGAGCTATTTTTACATTCGGTTATTGTGCGCGCGCGTTGTTGCCTGTCTGACAATAATTCAAAAGTGCAATGACTGTTGTCAGTTATTCTTTATTGATATTGACAAATTTCTTTTCATGTGCGGCGATACCCCAAACCCTAACAGGTCAACACTTTCATAAAATTTAGAGTTAATCTCAAAACGTGCGCGGGTTATTTAAAAAAATACTATCTTCAAAAAGTCGAAAAAATCATCGGGGTGAAATTTCCCATAAGACGCAATCTCTTTAGAGACCTTTCCGCGGTAACCCTAAACGAAAAAATCCTATTTGTTTGCGCTCGCATTTGATTGCTTTGGTTTTTGTACGCAGATTTAACGTCAATCTCTCATCACGAAACATTAAAATGAAGAAAAAGCGTTTGGTTTGAAACCAAAGTAAAGCTAGACCCCAAAGGCGCACGAACTATTAATTTCCTGATTGAAAAAGAAAAAAAAACATCCTGCCGTGAGTGAAAAGAGTTTTTGGAAAAGAAAAAGATTCACTTTTCTGCGAACCGCCATTTCGTCTGTTGTGAATTTTAAGAGGGTTTACCAGATCACTGGTTAGCGGCTCGTGGCGTGGGCCCGGTGTTAGCGCAATTCTTAAAGAAAACTGACCGCATAGGAAGTCAATTTTACTAGATACCAATCCCAAAATGACGACCAAAATCAAATTCATCTGTCTTATCTCATTTTTAACGCTTCTTCTATTCTAATATTAAACAAAATATCAACAACCGAACAGCAACAACAAAAACAGACAAATAGGAAAATAATATTTATCCTTTAGTCGCCGAATGAAGTCACCAGGGCCGAATCCGCCTCTCTTGATACGCTCACTGTCATTTGTCATTATAGACCTACTGGCTCCAAACTGCATGGAAAGAACAACAGCAAGGAAAGAAAATATCCTCACGGGTGAGCTGTATTTACCAAAATTAATGCAAAGACACCTGAAAAGATCCAAGGCTCGACAGGATTCACGGCCTTGTCTCGAAATATTTCGTCCATTTCATATAAACATAAATTATCGCGATCTAACTATCGGGAATTTACCATCATCTCTACAGTTATCTGACCATACAGTTTGTATAAAGGGAATAGGTTTCTAAAGAAACTGTGGTGCAACGTCGGTGGGAGGGTATAACAGGGTAATTTAGTATAATTAACTGCGTTGATAACGTAAATTGACCACCGTAAAGAGTTTTAAATCTGACGTTTCTTTACGGTGGCCAATTTACGTTATCAACTCAGTTAATAATACTAAATTACTCTGCCGTACAGCTTGTAGTCTCGAACATCGTAAATCCGTCGTTTCTTTGTAAAGCATTTCCTGGAAACCCTAATGTTTGGGTCTGGATTGTTTGGGTCTGGATTGTATGGAAGCATGCCCCGCCTCATCAGCAATTCTTTTTTCGATTTTATCTTCTGCCTATTCCGAATTAAAATCGTAAGGTTGGAATTTCTTTCTAAAGACGGCTGCCATCCTTGTCTCCTCGTCCTTTGAAACTTTACAAGCTTTCCAGTCCACTCTGTCGGGCATGTTGAGAAGAGCGGGACTGGCGGCAACTTCCCTGTTCAAGGAACGAAAGACACATCAGATCAATAGGTTCTACACCAATCCAAGGGCGTTGTAAAGAAAACAAACGCACGCTAATTGAGAAGAGACGGAGATAAAGCCAAACAACACTGTCAGAATTTATAAAATAATTTCCCTCTAAAAAGCCACAGTCGATACGATTATGATGGTTTTATGCTTTCCATTTATTAAACCCATTAATGAACCCTAAGAGAGACCAGTATTTAATTTCTTCTTACAGTAATACTTTTGAATTATTTATGAAGATCATGAAAAGAAAGGAAATGATTGCCAACCAAATAAGCTTTGATTGTTAAACAAATTCTCTTGGGCAGTACAAAACGATTTGTGTAGATAATAGTATGGAGAATGAGGATACTGATATCAGGGCGTTGTTAATTAATATTGTATATCGCACTTTACACAGGTCTGAAAATCTCTAGTAACCTTCTCAAAGATTATGTCCCTGATGCTTACATCGAACGTAGGAATTAATTACTGAGATATTGTATGATAAAGCTACCTTCCAAACTGTAGAGGCATCTTCAAAGATACTCTGTGAAGCAATTTCTCTTCGTTGTCGAATTCTACCACAAAATAGGGCGCTCCAACTGGTACGATCTGCAACAAAATAAGTAAACACAAAATTAAAGAATTTACAAAAAACAGCAATACAAACAAATTGATCGGTGACAAAGCCAACTAAAAAATAAAACGAGCCCACAAGACTCGTCAGTTGTGAACCCTTTGCACCCAAAGATCCGTACACATTTTCTCTACACTGCTCTTCATATATTGCCTAAGGTGCTGACAAAGAGAATTTGTTTAACAATCAAGAGGTTTATTAGTTGGTGATCATTTCCTTTATTCTCATGACCTTAAAGTTTGATTCAGGGGTGATATTGTGAGGAGAAATAAGATGCTGGTCACTTTCAGGGGTCAAAGGGTTAATAACATCTTACGTTCGATTTTGAAGTAGCTGCCGTTCACCCATGCACCGCCATAAGGATTCATATGTAACTTTACCTCACAATGCCGACACATCGTGTACTAAAAACCGACCTTTCTGCTTCTGATTTGGCGGGTGGTATATTGACATAGCGCCAAATTCTCGCTCTCAATCCGGAAAAGTGGATAACACTAGCACAATCTGTCGCTCACACTCAAGATGTGGCTTTGAAGCTAAGTTGATATTCGTACTCAAACAGACACTGGGAGGCATGAGCTCGAATCCCGTCAAAACATCAATTTCGAGCTTCTTTTGAGCAGTTCCTAATCCTGAAGCTTTTCTACGAGGATTTCACATAAGTCTCATTAAACAGTGGTCAACTTTTTATCTGTTAAGTTTCGAATTATTGTTACAGTAACTTGTATTTTTGTTGTCGTGCACTGTGTATTCCGCTAGTTCACAAAATTCTCCATCCCACCCAGGCAAGGTTTAATTCCCCACCCCCAAGGTACAGACGACAGTTAAGTGCCCGTGGGTTGCCGAAGAGAGGGAGGGAGGGAGGGGAGGTTTAAAAGTTCGAATTGATCGGGGCATTATCGTCATCATAATTTCATTGTAGCTGTTTTTGTTGTTGCTGATGTCGTTCAAGTTATCATTTTCATAGATTATCATAATTATCGTTATTATGACAATTATTGTTGTTATTTTTGTTGTTATTGTTGCTTATGTTACTTAAATGTTGCACCTGTTTCCGGTGCTCCTCCTATTCCTTTACTGGCTCCCAAGTCATTTTTAGGGTTCTGACCTGTGCCCTGTAGCTCCTCGTAAAAGAGCCTGTAAATTATCAAACAATAAACACATCACCTGACTAAGCTCTGTATTGGCAGGCACGTCCCTCATTGCAAGAGAATTGGAATCTCCGTGTTCTCTAAAAATGTCTTTTAAATCCTCAACATCTGTGGGAGGCACTGGTAAAACCTATACATAACAAATTAAATAGTGTAAGAATAGCGGATGTCAGGATGGCCGAGCGGTCTAAGGCGCCAGACTCAAGGATAATCTCCTTCCCAGTGCTGGCTGGGCCGGGTCTTCTGGTCTCCAAATGGAGGCGTGGGTTCGAATCCCACTTCTGAC